GCAAATGTTGAAAATATCAGTTTTTTGGTCGTATCGAATTTCATTTATTTCGCATGTCGTTGCACCATTTCCTCTTGTTTTCAAAGAACGTTCGTTGCTCGAAGAATTTTTCCACGAATAATTCTTCATTTAGAGCGTTTTCATATGTGTTTTATATGTATTACACGCGATTTGGTAAAATTTTTCGCGTGCCATGAAATTTGTACTAATTTGTAGATTCTGTCATTTTTATCTTCCCTAACCTATTACGGTTAGGAAAAATAACTGTATAATGGAACCTTTTTTCATACTACAAAAATTTTGTTAAGTTTTGTTGGCAAGGTATTATTTTAATTAATAGTAATTAAAATAACGTAAAATAATTTACGTATTAAAAACATCCTCGCCAATGGAAGAATAATTTCGAGAAAGGGTTGTTAAAAGAACGGGGATCTGCGGCAAAGTTTTTCAAATTAAGAGAAAGTTTTTAAAAGAAGGAACAGACTAAAAAAAGTAGGCGACGTCCGATGTTCGATAAAATAGTGAAAACGAAATTCTTCTTCGTGTTTGAAGACAGTTTGAAAGGCTATTTGAATGCGACAGGCCGAACGTCAGAAAAACTTCGATTATCCGATCGCTGTCACTCTTACCGTTCGACTTCTAAAAAACGATTGACTTGGTTTGACAATGGTACGAAGCTCCCCTTTGTCCCCAGTTTGGAAAGCACCGAGCATCCATCGTTCGATTTCAGAGAGTAAACTTTGATTTGAGACTGGGAATCTGGGAGAAGGATTAGAACCGAGACGCCTTCGATACGAATTTACAGCGGGTAGGATCTCTCCGTGTCGCAGTCTCTCGACAGGGATGTACACGAGGGATTGCTCGTGTCTCAATCCTAATTCGACACCGGCTCGGTAAACGAGAACCCGGCCACGACGATCCTATTCTCCTTGCGATCGTCGACGTTTGATATCGATGACAAAGGCAAAAAGCACACGGTCGAAAGTTGTGCGTACACACGAGCTGCAGCTGGTGCCAGCGTGTTAAAGTTCAAGAGTTTAAGCCTCCGCCACGTCGCCGGGACAATTTGGAATTTACCCACCCCCGCCCTCCGAAAACGAGCCAGGCGAGCGTGCAACACTCGCCGTTCAACAGTTTCCGTGTGTAGTCCCTCCGTTCGTTCCAGGCTTTGTTTAATTCAAAGCTACTCTCCCGAGTGCCTCGTTAACGAAACGCTCTAATTACCGTCGTTTCAACTTTCGTCGTTCGAAAAGAGAGAGAGAGAGAGAGAGAGAGAGAGAGAGAGAGAAAAATGAAAGGAAACAGGACCGAAACAGAGAATGAATTCGTGGATTCTCTTGGACTCTGCTATTGACAGATTGGTTGTTGAGAGCCGCGGGACGGGAGAGAAGCGATCTTGATGATACGAGTGTAAACAGCGACGAATTAATCCCGAATTAGTGGCGAAAAGGCGCGAAAAATGGGGAAGATTCGCGTGGTACGCAAATTTCACGGATAACACGACGCTTCCATTTGCCTTCGCGGAACTCCATCTGTATATATCGATCGGCCGACCCGATCAAGGCTACAAGGTCCCCGACAGGAATGCTCCTACGGGAACAAATAATTCAGCGCGATGAACGCGGATGGAAAACGAAGTGATCCATCGGGATGAAACTGTACGAAACTCTTTAACCGGATGATTAAAACAGTCTCCGGGCCTCGTTTCAACGTTCCTCCCACGCGAGAATGTTTCCATTCTCGACTGAGATCCGGTCGTCGATGACTGATGGTTTCATTGGTGGAGGAGGAAATTTGTAAAATTATATAAGTCGAGGTGCGAACTGAGATGACTGATCAATGTGTCATTTTTCAGTCGTGCGATGTAGTTAAAATTACGGAGTATTTCACGTGGATTCGTTTTATGGGAACAAAAATAAATGATCTGTCAGTACAGGGTGGAAAGAAAAGTTTGTCCGTGGCTATGATAGATCGAACATCTACACTCTTAATTGTGATATGTGTAAAGAATCTGCGCAAAATTGACCTTGACCTTGAATTTCAAGGTCAGAGTTTTTATTTATCGTACTTTACTCATCACGAAGGTAAAACTTTTCCAAGGAAAAATGGCGAGAAAGATTCTTCATCATTTGACACTGCGGACTCGCGAGTGCTAACAGCGACTTTATAGTTCTGAACGCTTGGACGTCCATTTTACGTAAATTTTGTATTAGACTATTCGTATTTCACTAATATTTGATTCATCATAATTGTAGCATCAGAGTCAAAATAATCTAATTGTTAACATTATTCGAAATATGAACGTAGAAATGCCACGTGCCCGAAACCATAAAGTCGCTGTTAGAACGCACGCGTCCGTGGTGTCAAACGATTCAGAAACATTTCTGCTACTTTTCCAAAGAACTTTTTTAGGTTGCTTTAAGAAAAATTTCATCCTCGCAAGAAAAAAACAAGTTTCTTTACCTTGAAATTCAACTTCCATCGAATTATAGAATCATCCAGCTACGCACAAACTTTTCTTTCCACCCGGTGGACGTGTATAATGTTTGACAGACAAAGTTTGACTAGACTTTTTGTTGATATAAAAAGCAAAGTTTATTGCCTTGCATTTATCGCGAGCAATGTACTTTCTGAGAGATGCAGGCTGACGGAAACCTTCTCAAGTGTAGATCGCGATTCAGCTTCTACTCGGATAGCGTAGCAAAAGGGTTAACAAAGTGCAACAAAAGAAACCATACGGAGTTTCAAACGTCCGTTCCAAAGTTCCCAGCGATTAAGCGTTGTCGAGAGATCTATTATCCGACGGAGCACGGGTAGCAGAACATCATTTCTCTCAGGGCGTTGAGATAACGAGGTATCCTTAATCCACGCGCGTTTACTTGACATGAACTTGAAGGGCTTATGCTGATTAGCAAACATACGGTACCGAGTTTCGAGTACGCTAATCAAAGTTAGGGCAACGTCGCGACACACGGTGCCGCGTCGTAGATCCCTCGCCGCGTTTCCAAACGTACGTCTACCACCGTGCGTTGGGAATTTCGCGTGTTGTAAACACGCGGATCCCCTCGAACCGCATACGCAATTAATTCGATATTAAACGGCGAGAGAATTCGAATCTATTGCTACCGAGTGCCGCTGAAGGTAGACGACGTTTCGACGTCGCTGATGAATAGACGAGAAAATTAATCGCGCCTCGCGGGGCGAGCGTTTAATCACAAAACGCTAGAAGAAGAAGAAGAAATACACAACCCTGCCCTGACTAGTTTAATTAACGTTTTTAATCGTAACGCGCGCGCGCGCCAGCGACGTCGTCATGCAAAACAAACGTCGGCGCTGCCTCCTCGTTAATATCAGTAACAAGAGCGCGTGACGTCTTTCTGGTGGCTAATCTGAGTTAATTACGAAACTATGATGTATAATCTGCTTAACAAAGACCGTGTATCCACCAGTCGGATACAAATTGCCGGGGTAATTTCTAGCCAGCGAGAATTTTTCGCTTAACTGTATTATATTACGCTTACGTTTTACGCTTGAGACGCCATTTGACCAACGCGCTTCTAATTTTACGCGCTTCTTTAATTACTTATGCACCGGGTTTCAGAGCCCCTCCCCCCGAAACAATCGAAGTCTTAGAAAGATGTGTTTCGAGTGAAATTCAGTTTGTCTCGAAGTAGGCATCTTACGATGACTCTGTTAATCTCCAAGATTTCGTTTCCTTTCACATATATGCTCGACTTTGGAACGAAAATATTGATATGAATAAATGAAGGAAAATATCTGTCAACGGTAGGAAACAACTGTATGAAAATATTCTACGTATAAGTCATTATAATTGAAATTGAATAGATCTGTGCAATTATGTTTCTCTACGAACAGAAATTAATATTCTGACGGGAATGTTCGTCTGAAACACTTTTGGTTGGTTAACGAAACTATTAATATAAATAAACAGATGAAAGTCATCAATATTTTAGAAATATTCTAGTAAATTCTACGTGTAAATTATTATATATTAATTGAAATGAGTGGATTCGTATAATTATGTCTCTGTCCAATTTTGGCAAGAGTTATGGTTTAAGCATTTATAGAAAACAAAAGTCTGAAATGAGTCGTGCTGACAAGTATCGATTGTGACAGTGTTAAAGTAATAAAATTGCGCAATTATTGAAAATATTCCTTGCGTGCGACTGCGATTTCAAATATCCCAAAAGAAAGTGGAACTTCAGACGAATAAGTTTGTACTGTGACGAATTCATCGACCTAAATTAAATTTTTTAAAATTTTTATTTATATTTTTAATGTAATTAAAATTTATTTAATTTTTCTATATTTTGTTTATCTATATTTATTTATATTTTATTTATCTATATTTATTTATATTTATTTATATTTTATTTATCTATATTCATTTATATTTATTTATATTTTATTTATCTATATTCATTTATATTTATTTATATTTTATTTATCTATATTCATTTATATTTATTTATATTTTATTTATCTATATTTATTTATATTTATTTATATTTTATTTATCTATATTTATTTATATTTATTTATATTTTATTTATCTATATTTATTTATTTTATTTATCCATATCTATTTATCTAAATTTCTTCAACGTCATTTATTGCAAACTTCTGTTCAAAACTTATTCGTCAAATAAGATACTAAGATTTCATTATTATCAAGAGTGTTTCGTCGATTTGATAAATCATAAATTAGGACGCGTCTTCTCAAAGTCTTCGAAATCTTTCTACGATAGAGTGAGGGACCTGAGAAACGTTCATCAAACATTCGTCTCTTAATATATTCATAAAAATTAATAGAAAATGTCTACGACTGCGCCTAACTGTAACAGCCGCTAACAGTTACGAGGTTACGGTTCGTAATCGGCGCGAAAGTAATTCCCAGAGAATTCGATTCGGGTCTCGACTACCACCACTGTGCACCAGGTATGCAATTTAACTGAAACTGGACTTGCATCGGTTTTCAGATATCGCCGGCGGTTACCTGTGCTTTGTCGTCAGCATATTCGGAATCGGTGTGGTGACGGCGGTAATCGGAGACGTGGCATCCTACTTCGGCTGCACCCTGGGAATCAAGGACTCGGTTACCGCGGTGGCTTTCGTCGCTCTTGGTACCAGCATTCCCGGTAAGTCGAGCGTCACAACCAGCGTCATTTCCCCGTGCAAACGAAAGGCGGGAGGGAAAAAAAAAAGAAAAAAAAGAAAAAAAGGAAAATACGAAACAACCGAGTCCGCGGCAATTTCCCAACGAATTTTCTACATGACGAGTCCCCGACTAGCTATAACGTCGTTTCTCAATGGCTGAAGGGAAAAAAAAATAGGAGGGAGAGAAAAAGCGAGGCCAGCAATTAGCGGTAATTGCTGGCTGACTGTTTTACGCGTGAGATGTACGCGCCGTTTCAAGGACAGACCCGATGCCGAACGCTGGAACAACGGGGACAATTAAGCGATTACCTCTGCCTTCAACGATCCTTCGTCCTTGGGCGAAATGGATCGCAGAGGTTGTGCACCACGACGTAGAATAATTTTTTTCGACAGAGATCGAGACGAAACGAAAGCGAGGACTTTTTTTCATTTCGAAGCGGCCTCGAATTCTTCGAACTTTCAACTTTTCCAACTCTAATTTTTCCACACGGAATCCGATTGTGCGACACGGTAGAAATTTCGACTCTTCGTCACTTGACCTAACCCAAACCTTGAAACACGCGAAATTTGAGCGAAAATTGCGTCGTCTGTGGATCGAGGGAAGCACTTCTTTCGGATAGTGTGTTCATAATTTTTCTGATGGAAATCGAGACGAAACAAAACGAAAGTGAAGACTTTCAGAGTGACCTCGAATTTTTGATTCTTCGAAATCTAAATTTTCCACCCGGAATTGTGCAACACGGTAGAAATTTCAACTCTTCGTCATTTAACCTTGAAACAGGCAATATTTGCGCGTTCGTCGTCTGTGGATCGAGAGAAACACTCCTTTCAGACGGTGTGCTCCGATGTGACATAATTTTTCTGATGGAAATTGGAACCAAACAAAACGAAAGTGAAGACTTTCAGAGTGACCTCGAATTTTTGATTCTTCGAACTCTAATTTTTCCACTCGGAATTGTGCGACACTGTAGAAATTTCGACTCTTCGTCGCTTAACCTTGAAACAAGCGAAATTTGCGTGTTTGTCGTCTGTGGATCGAGGGAAGCACTCCTTTCGGACGAAAGTGTGCTCCAATGTGACATAATTTTTCCGATGGAAATCGAGACGAGACAAAAGTGAAGACTTTCAGAGCGACCACAAATTTTTGATACTTTGAACTCTAATTTTTCCACTCGGAATTGTGCGACACGGTAAAAATTTCGACTCTTCGTCATTTAACCTTGAAACAGGCAATATTTGCGCGTTTGTCGTCTGTGGATCGAGAGAAGCACTCCTTTCGGACGGTGTGCTCCGATGTGACATAATTTTTCTGATGGAAATTGGGATGAAACAAAATAAAAGTGAAGACTTTCAGAGTGACCTCGAATTTTTGATTCTTCGAACTCTAATTTTTCCACTCGGAATTGTGCGACACGGTAAAAATTTCGACTCTTCGTCATTTAACCTTGAAACAGGCAATATTTGCGCGTTTGTCGTCTGTGAATCGAGAGAAGCACTCCTTTCGGGCGGTGTGCTCCGATGTGACATAATTTTTCTGATGGAAATTGGGACGAAACAAAACGAAAGTGAAGACTTTCAGAGTGACCTCGAATTTTTGATTCTTCGAACTCTAATTTTTCCACTCGGAATCCGATTGTGTTCGACTCCGACAAATCTAGTTCCTCCGCGGAGGATTACTTAACGACAGGCGAAATTTGCGCGTGGATCGAGGGAAGCACTGCTCTGGAACTGGGAAACCGTCTTTGTCCAGAATCGCGGACGAAGCGGAGCGGTATCGGGGGATGAAAGCAGGAAGACGACGTTTCCAAAGCTGAATCCATTGGAACGATGCGACAAATCTTGCAGGAGATGGTGTCACTTTGCGGGACGTTCCGTCTGGCGTGGTCGAAATACGGTCTCTCTACGGTCTTCCTACAGTCTTCTTTCGCAACTCGAGTCGAGTCGACGGTCGACTACTAGTAAAAGAAAGTCACGCGGGGAATTGTTCGGCGCTGCATCTCGGGGAGAGACCTTCGGGAAGACCTCTGAAAGTTAAACAGGGAGGAGAAACGAGCGTCCCGTGCCCGATTCAATTTTTACGAGATTACGAGCCATTGATCTCGGCGTACAACGGGGACTCTTGAAAATTTCAATGCTCTAATCGTCGTCTAATCTCGTAATCGTCGCACGTAAATGTTCTTCTACGACGAAAACGGCACGTTCGAACACCTCCGCGGTAATTAGAGACTCGTTGTCACTTCGTTCGAACATTTAGATTTTTAAACTTCTGTCTGAAATAAATTTCAAACGAACTTCGACCTTAAAAAATTTCACGAGTTTTACAAGCTTCTTGTCGAGCCCGATGAGAGTTGGCTTGGAATCGAAACGAGTGTTCGCGTCGCGAAGTGAGAAAAGGCCCCCGGTGCCTTTCTTCGGAACCCGCGAATAAGAGAAATAAGTGGCCGGTGAACTTTCCTTTCCTTTCCTTTTGTCTTTCTTCTAATTAAAGACGAGGTTGATTTCGTGGCGCGTTTATGCGAAACGAATTGCCGGTATTCGAGAGAAAGAGAAAGGAGACCATTCAGCGGCTACGCTCGGACGCGTTTATTCGTCTAGACCGCGGGCGATGGAGGAGCAGCTCGGGGAAAAATCTGCAACACGGCCACGATGGTCAAGACGGCCTTTTTCAGCGCTGCGCCGGCCCTTTTGAATGAAATCAAGTATCAGCTTATTGTGCGCGAGAACGGAGGAAAGCCGCGATAAAGCGGGTCCCTTTTCAAACCAGCTTTTCAAACCGGCTGTTTTCCCTTCCCTTCGGGATTTTCCTCTTCCTTCTCCCACCGCCTCATTCCCCTCCTTTCAAGGCTCGTTTGTTCGCCAGAAAGCCCGTCCGGAAATTTCTTTCGCCGGGGCGAAGATGGTTTTTAACAAGCCCACCGGAGGCCGCGCGTGCGTCTATATTTATGACGGGAAGCGCGTCTTCTTGACGTTAATATCGAGTCAGACTCGCATTAACTCTGACAAGGGAACAGACACCGGGCGAATTTTTGAAAAATTTCCAAGCAACGTTATTTTTAAAGTTATTTCAGAAATAATCTAGTTGCAAAACGAAATTATCAAGTATTTTGTATAAATATTAAATTAATCGCTTTCCAATTGAATGATTCATTTGCTACTTCGTGTAAATACATTATTTTGATTATCATTGATTATTTCGTTTCTTTTTATTCACTTCGAAGAAAAAATTTTTAATTGCCAAGTAAATATTATTTATTCACAAATAATCAGTATTTTTCCCCATTATCTGCATAGCTTTCTCTTTAATCGACCAAACGAGCTATGCGCGTGCCATTAATTGAAATCCATTATTTGCCAAATACCAAAGAACGTTATTTCGAGACTAATGTTATTTGCCAATTATTATATTCGAAACAAAGTTCGCCCAAAGGTTTGGTTTCAACTTACTAGCGATGCATCGAAGACTAAATACCGCGGCCTAAATTTACTCTGTGTAAGGGAAACGTGCGTCGAATCTTCGATGATAGATGCCTCCTCTCCACCGTACGACGAGCGCGAAACCAGAATAATTACCAGACGACCGGGCCAACGATGGACCGCGAGAATGCAAATGAATGGGGACCTGGGTAGCTCTCGGTAGCTCGATAAAAGCACGGAAGATTAATTTATCGCGATAATCATACGCGTACCGACCGGGGGATCCCTGTTGACGTGCACACGCCAACGCACACAAACGCGGTGATAAACGCGTTTACACGCCGCTGCCCGTGGTTTTCACGCGACAATGCGTTACCAGGACGATTCTATTCGTTCTCCGCGTGACAACCGCGGCCTTGCCGTGGAAAACACAACCCGAGGTCGACGTTTATCCCCCGTGAAATTCCATTTCTCCTACTTTTTCTCGTTTTGTAATTTTCACGCGCAATTATTCACGCGATTAGGTTTGAAACCACTTGGCTCTCAAACAGCGCCTGAAGGCGCGTTTTAAAATTTACCCGCCATGGTTGCCCATGGGCGCCTAACTTACACCGGTACGCTGAAACAAGAGGCGCCTATGGGCCGCTCACTTCACACTGCTCGAATCGAACTGAAGGCGTCTATGTTACTTATGTTTAACCTCTTGCGCTGGAATGACGTACGTCACGCACGTCGAGAACGTTTTTGTTCCAAAGTTGTAATATTTCCTCAGTTTTAAGTATATTTAAGCAAAAACAAATGATATATTTGTTACTCCTCAGTAATTTCTATTTTACTCGGTGATATCGTACCGACGAGTTCGAAAAAAAAGCGACGAATTATTGTAGATGGTTTGGTCACTCGTTATGGTCCGCAATCAGTTGCCAGCGCAAGTGGTTAAGCCGTTCAAAAGAACTCTGTTAAAGAATGTGATTTTTCAGGGAAAAGAAATTCTGTTCGAGATTCTGAACGTTTCTAAATATTACTGTTCGTATTAAGGTTATATTTATTAAAAATATATTCCTAATATTGAGAAAATAATTTCAAGTGTATCGAAATATAACCCGGGCAAAACAAATGTTAAATTTACTACTTCGTAATAATTTCTATCCAGTGATATAACGATGAATTCAAAAAGAAAACGAGTTATTGTATACGGTTTGGTCACTCGTTATGGTCCGCAATCAGTTGCCAGCGCAAGTGGTTGAGCCGTTTAATAGAACTGTGTTGAAGAATGTGATTTTTCAGGGAAAGGAGATTCTATTCGAGATTCTGAACGTTTCTGAAATATTACTGTTCGTATTAAGGTAAAATATATTTCCAATACTGAGAAAATAATTTCAACGTATTAATTTCAAGTATATTGAAATATAACCCGGGCAAAACAAATATTAACTTACATTACTTCTTAGTAATTTCTATCCAGTGATATACCGATGAGTTCGAAAAGAAGACGAGTTATTGTATATGATTTTGGTCACTCGTTATGGTTCGCAATCAATTGCCAGCGCAAGTAGTTAATAAAACA